CCGCAGCGCGCCGGGTTATTCCCCGGATCGCGAAGCGAAGCCACCAGCGCCATCGCGAGGGTCACACCTTCCCCCCTTTCCCTCCCTCCCCTCGGGGCCGGGGGTCGTGGTTTGTGGGGCGGGGGCCGATCTCTGCCCCGTGACCCCCTATTGAGCGCCGGTGCTCCGCCGCCCGCAGACACAACAAACGCGGCCCGGAGCGGTGCGGCCGGCAGAGCTCCAACGTTTTGACGGGTGGAAGAAAAACATCAACAGATTCCTCGCAACGATCCGGTGCTGGGGGCGAGGGGAGGACTGCGGGCGGGGGAGAGGTCGGTGCGAGGCGGCGGGCGCTAATTGCGACCTTTGCTTTGTTAATGAGCCCGCTCCGGCCTCCCCCCCCCCCCCCCCCCTCGCCCCGCGCTGCGCCGGCACTGCCCGAACAGCGCTCTGCTCCGGGCGGCACTGTCAGCGCTGTTACGTTATCGTTCAGTGGGAAACGTTCTCCTTTTTTTTTCCCCTTATTTCAGGTACTTATTAACAATAATGATAATAATAAACTCGAAGTTTGAACGCTCGGAAAATAAACTACAGGAACAGAGAGGGGCTACGGCGCTTCTCTATCTCGAGCCGTTCTGCTCCGCCGCTGTGCCGATCCGACCTCAGTATCCATCGATTGATGAATACATAACATCATATCGAACATAAATATCCCGAGTATCATCATTTGTTCTTTCTTTCTTTTTTATTTTTATTGTTTTCTTTCCCGACTGGAGGAAATTCGGCTATTTTCAGAACTAATGGCTCTAAACGTGCCGGTTTTCCTGCGTTCTCCCCAGCGGCGGCGGCGAAAGGAGGAGGGAGGATTCCAGTCAGGATCTCGTTGTTGGCGGTGTCACTCCGCTACGCGCAGCCCCGACCCCCGGCGCAGGTAGGGCCGCTCCCGGGCGGCCCCACGCACGGCTCCGCTCTGCCCACCCAGAGCGCCCCGAGCTGCGCTGATTGAGGTGGCAGAAAACTGCCGACCTCCCCATTCCCACGCAGCCCGCGGGCCTCCAGCCGGGTCCGCCTTTCCTCCACTTCCCCATGCTTTCTAATATCTCTTATTTTTGCCGCACGCGAGTATCGAGCGAGGTTACAAGCCGAGCGAGCCGCGGGCGACTCTCGGTGCCTAAGGGAGTCCCTGCCCCTCACGTCGTTCGCACCCCGGGGCCGCTCGCGGGGCCTTAGCCCGGTGCGGAGCTGCGGCCGCCCCGACACAGAACCGCTCCCCCCTCCGCTGCCATTGTTCTGCGCTTGATAAAAAACAATCGCTCGTTAACCCCCGCCCTCCCCCCGGCGGCGGTGCGCTGGGAACGGCGGCATCGCCTCCCCTGACCCCCGTCTCCTTTTCTGTCTTTCTGTCCCCTGAAAAATGATTCCGCGCGCTCTGATTGAATTTTATTCCTTCCTGACCTGGCCCGGTTTTATTGCATGGACACCATCAATCTTGACCTAACACGACGTTTGTTTATGGCTTTGGAAAGAAGCGAATGGCTTTATGAGCGCCGCCGTCATGAAGTCGGGAGGGCTCCGCGCACCGCGGCACCGCACCACCTTCGGGGAGGACGCGCCGTCGGGCAGGAAAAGGAGAGGGGGAAATAAAAAAAGGGGGGTGGGGGGGAAAGAAACAAAATCCACACAGAAAGGGCGAGGGGGACCCTCCCGGCACGTGGGCTCGGGTCGAGGTCCGGCGGACTAAAACTCGCGCAACCTGCTCTGCGCGCTGCCCCGCTGTGCTCCTCCGCATGCCACCTGCGCGCCCGCGCAGCGACAACTCGGCCTCAGGCGCCCCGACGGCACCGCCGCTGCCCCTGCCCTCTGCTGCGCGTCTCGCAGTCCTTCCAAAATCCTCGCATATTAAAATAACCGAGCCGTCGGGCAATCGAGGGGGAACGGAGTGACTGCGCAGACATTTAAATGACCTCGCACTGAGATTAATTGAAAGCTAACGTTCAATTAGCGGTTATTCCCGAAATCGGTGATCTCTGACGAGGATGCGGGTCCATCCGTCCCCACGCGGGTCCGGCGTTCCGCTCCTGCTCACTCCGTGAGGACGACACATGAAACCCCTTCCTCTTCACGTGGGCCCCGGCCCTTCGCCGCCGCTGCCCCCTGAGCGTAGCAAAAGCCCCGGCAGCGCAAATCCAACCGCGTTCGCCTCAGACAGTGCCGTTTCGTGGGGACGCGCAGAGGGCAGCGTGCAGCAGGAGTGCAGCCCGGAGGTCACCCGTCGCGCCATGGAGCTGGGTTCTATTTTGAAAATACGGCCGTACTCACCTCGGGGCTCTTTCCATGATATTTCAGAAAGGGCCCCGCTTTCGTAAAACGCACGTTTGGTAACACTCCCCGTAAGGCCTCCAGCCGCGACACGAACAGTCGCACCACATTCTCCCTCCGTCAGAGGCCGCGGAGGTGCGGAAGGGCTTTAAATCTACATATTCAGTTGTGACCTTTGCAGAACGTAATGCAAACTGTCACTCACTTTAAGAAGAAATTCTATGGAGGAAATTCGGGCAGAGAGAAGAATATTCCTCTTCTGCCGGGGGGAATTCAGACCTCACACTCCCCTCAATTTCGGTGGCAGATAATTAAATACAAAATAAGAAATCACTGCGGCCGGCCAAATGGAGCAGTCCCTCAAATTAGCAACAGTTTTAAGGCGTTTTTCTTCCCTTGGACAACACGCAAAGCAACAGCTTTGAGATTCGGCTCAGGCTGAAACACAGCATGGAGCTGCACGCTGCCCCCTCACCCACGGAGTGCCCCGCGGCAGAACAGGACCGAGCAGCCCCGTCCCTCTGCCCGGTGCCGCAGGAGTTCAGCGAGGAGATGCGCGCTGCGCGCAGGGTCAGATGGCTGCTCCGTGGTGATGGGGCAGGCCCGGTTCTGCGGGGAGACCCACGCAGAACCCGCGCAGCGCCATTTCCGTTCTCCGCGTTAGGGTTCTGTGCGGAGGGGGGAGAAAAAAAAATAATCATAATTAACAAAAAATAAATACGAAATAACGAACCCCGCGCGTGCCCTCTGCTGCGCCTCCCCGCAGGACCTTCGGGAGCGGGAGGGTCGCCAGAAAGAACCGGGAACCTGGCGGGACGTGTCCCTGCCCCCCGCGCAGGGACAGTGGAAGGTACGGGCGGCACTCGTTGGAACGCCTCACGGCCCCGTTCTCCCCCGGCAGAGCAGCGGCACGAAACGAGCCCCACTCTCCTCGCTGTTTCTCCCCCCCGCCGCTGAGAAAACTGGGGGTGCGGGGGGATCGATGTCTCTTAGCACCGAAAATATTGCCCAACCATTACATGCAATCGCCGCTCTGCCCTCCCCGCGCCTTAACTTTGATTTTGGAGTTCAATCTCGAGAGAAACACCGATCCCACGCAGGCACCGCGGGGACAGACTCCGGTCGCCGCGGGAGCTTCATTTTGGGAGGAGAAAAGGGCGAAAACAGGAGCAGGGTGCAGCGCACGGCTCTGGGAGCGGGGGTCCGCCATCAGAAACTGCCCGGAGCGCTCCGCTCCATTTCTCCTTCGCTCCAACGATAACACAACTGTGCGACGGGGCGGGAGGGGAGACGGCGGGTTGAGGGGGGGGTGGCGAAGGGGGGGGAAGGCTTTTCGGACCCAACTCAATAAACACATAGATAGAAATAGCGCCGATAATTTCTTCACTGGTACTATCACAGGAAAAACAAAATAATATCAAAGAATTACACAAAACAATTTAAAAGACAGTGAGCTATTTAAAGAAACCGATTTCTAAGCAGCTTCGTGCAGTAACTCTCAAGTCGGTGTGCTTGAAGGTGCGCTGTGATTATCGCTGCTCCAGAGAGGAAGAGCTGCCCAAAAGCGGGGCACTGAGGTGAACACCTCTGTATTTATTTACAGTGCAAACTCAGCAATGCGGCAGCAATTACTGCTGAGTGTCGCCTCCTGATAAGAGGCGCTGATAGGAAACGGCATTATCTTGCGAGCAAACTTTAGGCCTTAAATATCTGCAATCGAATCGCCTTCTCCCCAGATCTGACTGACAGGGCACAGCCTTTCAACTTAATGAATTTACGGCAGTTTGGTGGCTGTTTGCAAAGGGGGAGGCAATCCTCAATGCCCGTAGGTTCTTAATTGCAAATTGAGCAGAAGGTGACATTCCTGCCCGGACAGAATGTCAGTCTGCGACCCATTCGTCTACGGTGGCTGTGGAAATACATTTTTTTCAGGTTTAAGGAATAAAGAGGAAGGGGAGAGACGGAAAGAAAAAAAAAAAAACAAAAAAAACACCTTAAAAACCACATAGGAAAAATTATCCCCTCCAACTTTTCCTAAACGGATCCGCAGCGGAGCAGTGGGGCCGTCCCAGCGGAGTGGAAAGGTCCCCAAAGGACAGGAGCAGGGCAGAGCCACGGCAGTGCGACCCAGCGCTTCGTTCTCTTCGGAGATCAAGCGCTGCTCTACAGGAGCGGCCCCTCTGCCAACTGCGCAAAGCAGCGATTTCTGTGCCCACGGCACACTTAAGAAAACGCACATTAGAGACTACCAGCCATCTAAGATCCACCGCGGGGTTTAGAAACACACGCGGTGCGTTTCTAGAAATAAATACGCGAGCCTTCTTTAAACAGAGATCCACATTCAAATCCCGCTTACAAACATAGGGGGTAACGCGTAGGGGCCGCCCCATGTGCGTGCACCGACAGCAGCGCAGGGACCGGGCCGGGGCCGCACCGCTGTTCTCGGCCATTTATTGAGGAGAAAACGCGTCTGTTTGCTCGCCAGCCCCGAGCTGCCTCGGGAGGAATTTGTTCCCAGTGAATGGGACGAGCCGAGAGAGGGGAACACAGCGCGGAAGGGACAGAAATGGGATTTTTGGACCTGGGGTGCCCGGGATTTGCGCGGAGGGGACGCGCAGTGCCGTCGCCCCTCGGGAGCCACGGAACCCTTTTCTTCCCCTCTCAAAGCAAAGCGTGAAAGTATGCAGACGTGGGCAGGGTCATTCCAACTGAACGGTAATTTATTAATAAACAAACAACGCGATACCTTCGGGATATTTTCAACGAAAAAAAAAAAAAACAGGAAAAAATATTGATAGAATAAGATTAATACAGTTTCCCTTTTTTTATATATATAGAGTGAAAAAAAAATATCAGCGTTTCAGTCCGTGTTAACGACACTTCTCGGGGAAGGGGAAACACTTTGTGGCGTTTGGTCCGCACCATCCAACTACAAATTAAAAATAAATTACTATGTGGCAATTTACACTTTCAAACAAGTCCTTGTCCGGGGGGGAGGGCGGGTGGGGGTGCAGAAGCGGGGCGCGGCGATACCTCACGGGACGGGACGCGGGGGGAGAGCACTGCTGGGAAGCGATCAACCAAAAAAAAAGCGACACTTACGTGGGAGCGGGCACCGCCGTCCTCTCACCGCCCCGCACGCGGGCGGCGGGCGGCGGGCCGCGCTCAGAACTTGCCGCAGTCGTAGACGAAGGCCCCGGAGGCGCGGTACAGCGGCTGGCTGCCGGGGAACGCCATCTGACAGCTGCCACCGCCCCCCGCTCCTCCGCCGCTCCCCGCGTTGCCGCCGCCTCCTCCGCCTCCGGGCGAGGCGCTGAGCCCCATCCGCGGCGCTTCGAAGACGTCCCGCGGACCGGCGGCGAAGCTCTGCTGCGGCCCCGCGTAGCCCAGCTCCCCCGCCGCCGCCGCCGCCGCCGCCGCCGCCGCAGCCGCCTGGTTGAGGTACCAGGAAGCCAAGCGGCCCTGGTGCGGGTGCGGGTGCGGGTGGTGCCCCTCCTGGTGGCCGCCCCCTGCCCCGCCGCCGCCGCCGCCGCCGCCGGGGCCGCCGCCGCTCCCCGCGCCGCCGTTGGCCGCTCCGCCGCCGCCCCCTCCGGGCATGGCGTAGTCGGGCAGCGGCTCCTCGGCGGGGCTGGCTGCGGGCAGGTGGCCGCCGGGCCGCTCGTTGCCCCCCGCCGCCGCGTACAGGCTCATGGCCTGCATGTTGCAGTGGTAGGAGCCGGCGGCGGCGGCAGCGGGCTGGCCGCAGGGCGAGCCGTACACCGCAGAGCTGTGGCCCGGAGAGTAGGCGCCGAGCGAGAGGGCGGGCGGCAGCGAGCTGCGCGGGGCGGCGGCGGCGGGGGGCAGCAGGCCGGCGCCCAGCTCGGCCGCCTGCGGGGAGCCCCGCAGCGAGGTCATGATGTTGTCCACGCTGAAGCCCGGCCCGTGATGGTGCGGAGGGGGGGGAGGAGGAGGAGGTGGAGGAGGTGGAGGAGGAGGCTCGGGGCCCTCCATGCCGAGGGAGCGGGCGGCGGGGAGCGCTCCGCCGCGGGGGCTGCCGCCGCTCGAGAGGCTGCTGCTGCTGTCGGGGCTCTCGATCTTGGGCACGGCGCCCAGCGGCGGCGCGGCGCCCGGCGGGGACACGGCCTGCGGCGGGGAGGCCGTGCCGTTCTCCGTCTTGATGTCCTGGATGCGCACCGGCGGCGGAGCGGCCCCGGCCGCGGGAGGGCCCCCGCCCTCGGGCTCGGCGCCGGTGGCGGCGGTGGGCGGCGGGCGCGGCGGCGGCGGGGCATGGTCCTTGAGGTGCAGGCGGTCCTTCTCCTCCTTGTCCTTGACGGCGTCCTTCTTCTTGAAGCGGCGGCGGCGGCGCAGGAAGCTGCCGTTCTCGAACATGTTGTAGGAATCGGGGTCCAGCGTCCAGTAGCTGCCCTTGCCGGGCTTCTTGTCGTCGCGGGGCACTTTGACGAAGCACTCGTTGAGGGACAGGTTGTGGCGGATGGAGTTTTGCCAGCCCTGCTTGTTGTCCCGGTAGAAAGGGAAGCGCTCCATGATGAACTGGTAGATCCCGTTGAGGGTGATCTTCTTATCGGGCGCGTTCTGGATGGCCATGGTGATGAGCGCGATGTAGCTGTAGGGCGGCTTCACCATATCCTTGGGCTGCGGCGGCGGCGTGTAGGGCCCGTAGGCGCGGGCCATGCCGGCGGGGTACTGCTCGTGGGCCGGGTGCGAATACACGCTCATGGGGGCCGGCATGGCCGCGTAGCCCCCGCCGGCCGCCGCCGCCGCCGCTCGGTAGTAGCTCTGCTCCCCGCCGAGGTACGGCACCACGCCCAGGGAGTTGGGGCTGGACACGGAGTAGCGCGCCTGCATGGCCGCCCGGCAGCCGTCCCCCTCCCTCCCTCCCGCCGCGGCGAGCAGCGCGGCCCTTCCCCCTCCACCCTCCGCCGCTCCGCGGGGCCGAGCAGCGCCCGGCGGCCGTGCGGCACCCCCCGCCCCCCCCGGCGGAGCGAGGGACGGAGGCGCCGGGCTCCGCTCTCGGTCTGCTCCGCGCGAGGCGGGGGGGGAGGTCAAAAAAGCGGGGAGGGGGCAAAAAGGGCTGCGAAAAAAGAGAAACGGGGGAGGAAAAAAAAAAATGAAAAAAGGAAAAAAAAAAACCAACAAAAAACCAGCAATCGCAGCGGAGAAGGCAGCTCCCAACGCAGGAGGGGGATTAAGGAAAGAAAACCTTTGCGACGCAGCTCCCGGCTCCGCGTTCCGCAGCGAGCTGTCTGCAGCGGGGACCCGGCTCGGGGATGGGTTCTGTGGGGCTTTTTGAAGCGAGCAGCAGCAAGAAAAAATCCACCGTCCGCTCCGCCGGCGGAGCTCCGCGCTTTCTCTCCTCTCTCTTTTTTTCAGTCTCTTTCTCGGTGCCGGGCTGCCTTGGGACGCATCGGAAAAACTCCTGAACTTTTGAGCATCCGTCACCGCCGCGAGAACTTTTTTACGCACTTACGGTTTTCTCCTTTTTTTTTTTTCTTTCTTTTTTTTTTTTTTTTTTTTTTTCCTCCCCTCTCTCTCCGCTCTCTCTCTTGCTCTCTCTCTCTCTTTTTTTTTTTCTTTTCCTCCTTTTGCAGCGGCTCGGCCCCGCCCCGCCGAGTCCGGACGGCCAATAGGGGCCGGGAAACACCCGCGGCTCTGAATGAGGAGGGAAAAAAAACGAGACCGGGCTGAAAAAAAAAAAAAAAAAAGAGAGAGAGAGGGAAAAAAAAAAAAGAAGAGAGGGAGAAAGAGAGACGGGAAAAGAGCTCCCGCGCAGCGCCGGCAGCCGCGGCTCTCGGCTACGGCCACACACGCCGAGTCTGGGGCTTGAGCGGGGCCCCGTCGCCTGCGCGCATTTTGCGCACATTTTGTGCGCGGGGGGTGGAGAGGGGGAAGGAGAGCACCAAGGCCGCGTGAGCGTCCACCCGTGCGCCGTACGAGCGCGGACAGGTCCGTGCGTTTCACCGATGCACACACACACACGCGGAGCTCTCCGCCACGCGTGTTTCTCCCCCTCCCCTCAATTCATTGTTATTATGTTCTCTGTTCGCCCCCCGCTTTCCCTCAATATGTTATTATTATTTTCTCTGCTCACCCCCCTCCCGCTGGCCTTTCCCCCTCCCCGCATTCCGGATCCTCTTCCTCTCCCCACGCCCGTGGGCGCGGAGGGAATATTCGCACGGTGTACGGACGCGGTGCGGTGCGCGGCTCTGCTCTCCCTGGGGGGGGGACCCTGCACAGAGCCCGGGGTGCGGCGTTTGTGCCCCACTGCGGTGCCGCTTTCCGCTCCGTGCGTGTCAGGTGTGTGTCACGGGAACGAAAAGAAATAGGCGCGGGAAAGGGGATGCTCCTGATACCCTTTGGCCGGACCTCGTGGCTAGAATTGATTCGTATTGCTGCTGCCTTTGTTGAAATGTCTGAGAGCGTACATGGGCTGTAACGGGATGTTGGGAATAACTCTTCAACGGGAGCGCAGAGGCGGCGAGGGGTGAGGGCTCGGTTCGTTCTTTTCCAGCATCCCCCTCCCTCTCCCTGGTCGTTGCTCCATCGGAGCGAGGAGGATTTCATTTCGCCGTTTAAACCCGGGAGAACCGCGTCCGTGTCCTGCGGGACAAGTCCCGGCAGCCCCGCGGGGACCCGAAGTCCGTTCCGCTGCCCTCGGCCGCTGCCAGCCGGGACCCCGCTGGCGTTCGGAACCGGTCGGCCGGAGGAAGGAGCCGAAATCTGTTTTGTGGGGCGGCGTATGTGGGGGGAAAGACGCTGAGAGCGAGTTGGTGAGAGGCATCGCTCACCCGAGCGTGTGACAGCGCCCGTCGGGCCGAGGACCCCGGGGTTCCCCCGGTTCCGAGCCCCTTTCACAGCCTTTTGCTGTGGGGACGCATCCTTCGCTCGGTTCGTTCCTCACACAGCACAGAGCCGTTGGTTATTCAATAGGCACACGCGTGCTTTCAGTGCAAGGAACCAAAGAAGTAATTTATACGGGCTGATATCTGCTCCTTTTCATATTCAAACGTCGCGGGTCTCCTCTTGGTAATAAATGTCAGCGCTGTAAAAGGGAATACCCGGTCCTACACAGCCGTGGTGTTTCACCGTCTGCAGTCGCTCACCTGCTGCTGCCCCACTGCGCGTTTCCCCCTTTCCTTCACGACTGCAGAACGAATAAACGTGCGAGCACTGCGCTGTTTATCCATCCCAACACTTGGTATTTTCAAAAACCGTATGTCCGTCCCAACACTCGGTATTTTCAAAAGCTCTCTCTTATTTTGCCGAAGAAAAAAAAAAAAAAAAAAGAGAGAGAAAAGAACAGGCAGAAAGAAAGGGGGGGGAATAAAGGATCTGTCAGCGCGTCCCCACGCTCCCGGGCCGTGCGATGTTCCCACGGCGTTACCGCGGACACAGCCGTTCCCATTCGCTGCGCGCTCACTGCGCGGTGGACCCTTTGCTCCTCCGGCGATGTGCGGGGCTGTGCCAACACCCGGAGGTTTCAGCTCAGGGAAGAAGGAAAGGGGGGCATTAATCCGGAGTGGTTTGCATTCAACCCGTTTTGCAATAGCCCCTCTGATTCTATAATTGTGAACTGACGCAATTGCCGGCTGCGTGCTAAGCTACATACCTCGCAGCAGCGCGACTCTGGTTTCTGCATGCGGGGCACAAAAGTCACCATTGTGAGGAGCGAGAGTGGCATGTTCGTACGGTGATATTTGGTGCGAGGGCGGCAGGAAGGGCGCCTTTCCCACCGCTTTCTCGGGATACCACCCAGAAAGAGGTCTCGGCGCTGGGCTTTCGCCTCCCCGAAGGGCTCCAGAAAGCGCACCCAACGCGGCCTCCGGCTGCCGGCATCGCTCAGTGCCCCACACGGAGCGGGGCTGGAGCCGGAGGGGCCGGGGCCGGGCTCGGGGACCCCGCCGGGCAGCGTCGGGCCGGGGGAGCCGCGCCGCGGGGCTCGGCGCGTGTGTGGCCGCTGGCGGCCGTATTTACGGAGATGTCAGTAAGAAGGATGGCAGCGGAGCGCTGGGCGGAGGGGCCGCCGTCTGACCTGGGCAAAGCCAGGTGGGCCCCCCCGACTCTCTCTGGGAGACCCGGGGGTGACCCGCCCGCCGGCCCCGGGCTGTTTGTGTTTAGACGGAGTCAGAGCTGCATTTCTCTCTTTCTTTTGGCTCCCACATCACAGCGGCAGCTCTGCAACTCCGAGCCCAGCCACCCAACCCGGCTCTTCGCATCTCAGGATGCGGCTTTCCGCGTTCCGCAAACGGAGGGCAGGGAGAGCAGCTCTCATCTTTTCGGGGAGGGGGGAGCAGGAGAGAGGCCATACCCCCAAAATCCGTGCTCAGCTCTATGCCAGACCCACCCACTCCGGTTTGGCAGCACTGTACCTTCTGCCCTTGCAGTGCTGCGCGGCCCGAGCTCAGGGGCTGTGTGCGCGTTTTGTACTTTATTTGTGCTTGCGTTTGTGTTCGTATTTTTGTTTCTGTTGTCGTGGGCTGACGACTTCACAGCTGAGTCGGAGCACTATTCCAGTCCCGGGTGGCTTTTGTCTTTAAGACATAAACAACACGACTTAATACGAAAATGAACTCTCCATCCCTCCGGCATCCTTTAGGCTCTCATTCTTGAATGGGAAATGAATTGCCCTTCACCGTAAATGCGGCAGCGCTCATCGGCTTCGTGTATTTCACGAACGCAACGCCTTCGTTTCACTTTTGGTGTCTAAAGGCGAATTTTGCATTTAATTCCCAGAGCAGAGCCGGGGCCATGGACCGGTCGGAACCCGCGAGGTTCCTCGTCCCGTCCGTGTGACACACAGGTGTCGCGGCACCAGGAGCGCAAACAGAACCGCGCTGAGAGGAACTGCTCGCGTTCTTTCTGCACTCGGGGCAGAGCGGTGTCACACAGAAAACACTAAGACCAAACCGACCTGCAGCCGCATAAATCCCTTTAATCTAGTGGGTCCCCAACAGCTCCGGCATCTCACGGAAAAAACAACGTTTGAGGACTGAGGGGGTGTGGGGGTTAAAAACTCTCTCCTAAAACGACAAAGGAGACAGCCAGACACGGATTTGATTTAATTTTTTTCTTTCTTTTTCTTTCCAAGGTCCCTTGTCCCTTTTGCTTTCCTTTTCCTCCCTTGTTTCCTTCCTTTCTCCGGGAGGGGCGGCGAGGCTGGAGCGGTGCTGAGCCCACCGGCTTCTCTGGAACCGCACAAATGGAACCTCGCGGGGCGGCGGAGCGGGGAGCGAGAGGAAGACTCCTGCTCCATCCCCATCTATTGCCATGTATGCGGGAGGAGAGAGACCGATTTGTAGAAAGGATTTATTTACTCTAGAACGAGGCGGCAGCTCCTCTCTGGGCAGCGATAAGCTCTTGGCGATTCATCACGCACCCGATAGGGATCAGCTCCCGCGCTCATCATTCCCTTCTCTCGAGTATTCCGAGGGCTGAGCACAGGAATGAGTTTGCGGGAGGGCTGCGCTGCCCCGCGGCAGGCAGATGGGGGGCAATGGCTTCTCCGCGCCCGCGCAGCTCCCGCGCCGCACCCTCCGGCCACCTGCGCGACACCGGGCGCTACGCGAGACGCGGGCGCCCCCTACCGACCGCTCCGCGCCGCTCCGCGCACCTGCCGGGCCCCCGGGAGCCCCGCGCAGTGCCGGGTCTGTGCGGTGCGCGGCGACGCGGTGCCAGCTCTGCCGGGGCCGCTATTTCTCCGGCCGTGCCAAGGAATGTCTTTATGGGTTGCCAGGCTTGCCCGTAAAACCTGCGAATGAAACAGTGCCGGTTTCCAGGAAAAGAGCTCCTGTTTTTTTGTTGTTTTTTTTTTGAAGCTGCCCTTTTCTGTCTCGTTACTGCCCTGCTCGGCCTCCGACGAAACGGCTCCATAAAGCTGCCCGTAAACTCGAAGCACAGGCTTTTGCACCTCCGTATGGCTGCAGAGGGGGTGCAAAGACGTGCACGCGCAGATCAATGAGTGTGCGGATTTCGGAGCGTTACGAGGCATTGATGTACAGTAAGCACAAACGCACCGAGGAGCTCTGTGTTCCTTTAGGGCTCTAGGAGCAAAGGCAGTGCAGGTCGTAAGGCTCTGCTATCTGCATACGTGCTTTTATGAGGCTACAAATGCTCTCTGCACAGTTATTCGTGCGCTGCCAGACGTAATGCGCTACAGCTGTTTGCATGCAGAAAGGAGCAGTGCTAAAATGCAATAAGCAGAGGGGAAAGAAGGCATTAAAGAACAGAAACTTTAGGGTGTAGGCGCTGTTTTCCACAAAGAACAAGCCATGCATAAATTAGTGGACCTTGGGGTCCCACTGGCACTGACCTCAGGTGTTCTGTAGGTCTCTGTTTCCAAACGAAGCAATGCCCCATCTGTCCCATCCAGGCCAAGTAGGGCCAAGTCCCTGTTCTGCAAAGCAGCAGAGGTCACAAGCCTCTGTCCCATGCTGAGTGATTGCGCTAGGAGTGCTTCACTTGCTAACCACAAGCACAGGTTTTTTTAGCAAAGAAGAGACACTTGAGGGATTATTTATAAAAGTTATTGAAGTTATCTGTTTAACTTGATAATTCCTGAAGGAGAAGCAGAGATTATCAGCTGAAGCTTACGTTTAGAAGTAATTACATGTCTGACTGTGGGGTACCTGTGTGGCTGGTTGGGCACAGGGGCACGTTTCAGCTCTCCTTCTACACGTGCTCTTTCCTCTTGGTTACAGTGGTGACAGCAAAAGGTCTGTGGGGAGAGCAGGAGGCCACGGGGACGGCAAGAGGCCTTTGGGGACAGCAGGAAGCTCTGCATGAGATGGTGACCAAAGCTCCCGCAGCTGTCCCTGTGGCAAGAACACCCACAGCAGCAGGTAATGTGCCCCTCCCACAGCAACTGACAGCCAGGAGCAAGAAATGTTCGGGCAGCTTACATCATCGTTTGCCTGTATCATTATCAAGGAGGAACTGAAAGCTGTTTTATGAGGAGCAGACAGACAAGACTAGCTTGAGCTTGAGACATAAAGAACTCAAACCACTAAGATACCTGAAGGCATCCCAATTAAGCGATATTACCATCTCGATCAAGATGCAGTCATTGTTAGTAAGCATCCCTGATTTCTAAGTGAGATATGCCAATGAAACAGATTTCCTGATTAGGTGCACTTAAATTAAGTGGAGAGAACTGCATGGAGGAAATGTGGAAGAGCTCTTGTATGGGCCAACTTCATGGGCACTGTGTCACCTCCACTGACACAGAGCTTGGACCGCTAACCTCAAACCCGCAGTGCTGCCCATGCCTGGGGCTGTGTGACCATCCCACCTCCACCCTCTGCCTGTGCTCCCAGCACAGGGAGCAGTGCTGCTAGTCATGCCCACAGCCACCTGCATCAGAGCACCTTGGCACCTGTGCTCTGCCAAAATCCCACTGGGTGCTGAGAAGGAGGCAGAGTGGTATCTGAGAGCCTGCGGGGGCTGATCCGACAGATAATGGCTTGGGATTTGGGATGAATCTGAAAGGAAGATCCTCATCAGCTCTGCACTGGATATTTCTGAGTTTTAGAGGTCAGACTCGCATAGTTTTCAGATGGAGGGACTCCAGGTGACATGCTCTGGCAGTAGGGCTGAAGGGCAGGTTGGGGAGAAAGAAAATACAGGCAGCAAGTCTTGCAGACACTGGTCCTTCTTAAAGCCTTGAGCTGTGCCTGCCACGTGAGCTGGGTGAAGAAAGAAGGGCCCTACACTTAAGTCCAGTGCTGATGCCCCTCTTAACATCCACTCTGCTCTTAACATCCAAACTGCTCTTCTGGTAGGAGACCTCTGAAAGGAGCCTGCAGCGAATGAGCTTCTGGGGAGAGGTTTGTGTCTCCTCATGCAGCTTTTTTGCTCCAGAGCCCTGCCTTGTCTCACATCCCCACTTTGAATAAGGCAAGGAATGTGAGCCCTCCACCACACCTCTAGCTTTCAACATTTGCTGAGCCTGTTTGTCTATTATTTTTTTTTTCCCCTGTGACTTTTGAGATTGTAATCTTGGCAAGGTAGGGACTGCCTCCTCTTCTGTGTTTCTATACCATCTAGCTTCTGGTTGTGTCCAGGATCTTGGGCTGATGTGCTAACAATGAATAAGCACAATTATCTGGGGGGTTCTCTTCATGGATTGCTCTAAAATGGATTGAGCTGGAAATGTACCAGTTCCTTTGGAAGAGGAGGGCTTACAGTAACCACTTGATTAAAACAATCGCTCTCTGCAGGGATGAACGCAGGTGTTGCTTTCAGTGATGTTTGTCACAGATTTGCATACAGTGAATAGCACACCATGTCCCTCTTTCTTCTAAGTTTAGGGGATGGCAGCAGCCGTCTAAACCTCTTTGAAGAAAAAGATGACACAGAGTTTTCTTGCTGACCTGCAGCAAAGGTGTACTCTCGAGGTGTGCCTGCTTTTCAATTTGCCTACCTATATGAATTCTAAATGTAGCAGCTTCATGCAGTTATTTCATTTCAGAGGTCCCCTCCAAGTGTCTCATCCTGACCTCGTATGGCTGCGTGGCACGCAGTAAATCAGTACAGAAATCCATCTCTGAATCTCTTCTTCTTCATTTTTTTTTCCAAATTCTGCTTTTCCTTTCAAACGAGGCCAGCTCCTCAAGCCATTAGGCTGAATTGCATCAGCTGTGGCTCTGGCTTGGGGAAATTAAAGGTGAACACCTGTGCCAGCTCAGCATCACCACAGTGCATGAGCACGTAGAAGTTAAGTCACTGGAAAGCGAACAAGGCTGGAGCCTTAGTGGTGCTGGTGGATCAGGTGCGTGCTATGTGCTAAGTAGTGTCCTTGGGAGAGCTGCTTCTTTGGGCAGCCTCAGCGGTGAGATTGGTTTCTTATTCTGTTCAGTTTGAAGACTGGCCGTTATAAAATGTGGCATTTGGTGGCATGGTTGTTGGGTTCGGGGGATTTTTTTCAGAACTAAGTATATGCATCTTCAGAATAATGTTATCTCTTCTAGTATGGTTCCCACTGAAGTGAATGGAAATGTCCCTATTAACTTTAAAACGCAATTTCCTCCACCTTCTCCTTCGTAAAAGACTTAATCAAACATGTTTAGTGGAAACCTACGAGAGCTGTCTAATGACTGACTTGCTTTGCCCAGGGAAAAATGTAACCATAAACTGAAACATGATGCTGAAAACCAAGTTTAGTAGAAAGTGTTTAGTCTAGAGCTAGATGAATGATGGAAACGTGTATTTGTGAATAATTTATTTGACAATTGGTGTGAGGGGGGGAAAATGATCAAGTTCTCTACTCGTTTGTCTTTGCCTATCTACAAAACTGGCTGAACGATGCACAAACAAATTGCTAATATTTATTCAGAAGCAGAGAGGTTAGCTTTTGTCAAAGGCATTTTTAGCGGAGACTTGGACTACTCCCAGATCAGCTTAATTTTCTTGTGTTTTTTTGCATAGTAAACAAAGGAAGTTGTTCTATTAGTTACTAAATCCAGTATGAATATGCATTTTGCCAGCGATGTTCATGTTCTATTGCAAATCTTACACTGTGAGGACTGCAAATATTGGAGCATGGTCTTCCTGGCTGTGGCCAATGTACCAAGACTTGAGTGAGCTCAGCAAGCTACATCTTATAGGTTGTGCCCACTTGCATCCCCTCCTTGGAGGAGTTCTTTGCTGGAACCTTTCACAGCAGGAGTGCTGTGGATGGCACGATGCACAAGGCTGAATGAGGAGAAGCTGCACCACTTAAGAAGGTGTGTTCTGCGATCAGGAAGGCTGCCATCTCCATATATGATGACACAAACAGTTGCTGATTGCCAGACAGAAGCTGCTCATTAATTATTTTTCCTCTTGGTGAGAGAGGAAATGCAGCCAAATGGCGGAGGCTCTGAAGAGCTGGCTTTATTAGCTTGACCTGACAGCAGTGCAGAGGTGTTTTGCTTGGGGACAGAATCTACATTTTGCCTTGCAATTTAGTGAGCTTGTCTGCATCACCTCCTACACTTCCTCCTACCTTTGCCTTCCCCTGTGACACACCCAAGCTTCTCTCTCAGTAGTCCTTCATCCTGTGCCACCTTTGCACCTTCTGCCATACCACCAAATGTGCTTTAAAATTCTAGAATAAATATGTTTTTAGTGTTTTTTTTTTTTTTTTAATGTATTTTTTCAATAACATAAAATGAAGATGTAAGAACATGGCTCTTCTTGCAAACCGTCTCACTGATCCCAGATTTTGTGCTGTTGCTGTCAGTAGGTTTTGGATTAGGCAAGAACTTGCTCCATGAGTTCCCAGATATGTGCCAGGCACCTGCAAGCCCCCTGGGAGCCTGGAGGAGCTGCAGTAAATGAATAACTGTAACCCAGGCCCTCTCAGCCTGCTACCTGCCCACACCTCCTCTGTGCGCTATCAGCTGCAGCAATCACCTCTGCTTATCTCCTCTGAGGGGGATAAGTGCAGTCTTCAGGTGCTTGCTTCACCTGAGTCCTTTATATTTGGGTGGAAATAACCTTCTTCGTGGCTTCAGCTCCGTATGCCCAAGAGTACAAAAGGAAAAGCAAAGTGGGTCCTCTTGCACCACAGGTATCATTTAGTGGATGTGGTGGTGATGGGCTCATGGTTGGACTGGATGGTCTTAGAGGTCTTTTCCAACATTCTGAATCTGATTTGATGCTTTCTCTAAGTTTCCATAGCAGAAGCTGTCTTGCAGTGAAAGAAAATGGGCAATAGTGACGCTTTTCCTTAGGATGTGGGGCCTGCCTGAAGTGAGGCTCAAACTGCTTGGGATTAGTGGAGGGTGAGGGAGCCATGGTGAGGTGCTGAGAGTCAGTGCTGCTCCTCCCGGAGCCAGAGGCATCTCAGGTGATCAGCACGTAGAGCAATAAGCTCTGACAGAGGAGCCCTGGTAAGAGCTCCGTTTAATTTCACTGTGGTATGTAGCACTCCAAGAAACCTCCCCGACTCGGTCCTTTTCCTTCAAGCATAACTCCTTATCAAGGTTATTGGCAGCAATTCACTTACAGAAAGGAGCAGCTGTCATGGTATTCCCACATACAAACATGGAAAAACAACCCCTCCCTGCTTTCGGTACAGCGATGTTATGTAGTAAGAATAATTACAATATTTAACACTTGTATCTGCACTTTTAATCTTCAAAGCACTTAACGAGTGCTAGCTACAGGTAATTGTAGCTGCAGAGTGATGGGTCTGTTTGCAAAAAGGGAAGAACTGTGTGCACCCCTGCTCCAGCAGCCCTGTGCACAGGGAGCAAGCCAACACAGGCTCAGTGACAGGGACCTCTTGGGTCCCAGGGATGCTTTTTTCCACTGCTTGTCACCACCGTCCTGCCAGGGGTCACTGACTCTGGGTGTGCAGGTGGAGTTGCTCAGGTTGAGCTTCCCCATCCCGTTTCAGTCCCAATGGACTGACTATATGGCCAGCTGTTCTATGTGACCCGGTTGGACTATATGACTGACTCTATGACTTGGCTTGTTTGGAGTGGAGCTGATGAGGGATGAGTGGCTCAGTGGGCAGAGCTGGGAAAGCAGTGACTGCTGGCAGAAAATAAGGTGACAGTGAGAGGCTTGCAGGAGGTGTGTATCTGAGAAAGGGAGGCAAGCCCATGCTGATTCCTCCTTCTCTGAGTCTGTCTCCCCATCCTGAGGAACTTGGCATGGGCTTGGCATTGGCCCCAGTGTAAAAGGTGTTATTTGTTTCCTCGTCATGTTCATGTGGCTTTTGGCTCACACTGGAAGGAACAGCAGCACTTATCCTGTCTTCTCTCTCCCTTAGCTTTCTTACAAAGTCTGCTTATCTGAAAACATTCAGGTAAAGCTCTCTCTGCTTAGAGTTGGAAATGGGATTGGTGGATGTGAAATGTGTCGTCAGAGCACAGAGCTTGCAGCGTATTGCTGCCTGCACCTGGGAAGCCAGAGAACAGCCCTGCACGGGGCATCCTGGCCATCCAGCTCAGCACCTTGCCTTCACAGGCAACAAACCTCTGTATTTATTAACCTAGACTATTCCCAGGCAAATAAATGACGTTTGTGTTGGATGAGATGTTTGTGAGAGGTCCCTTCCAGCCTCCTCTATGTGCTGACCGTTCTGTTTAGATAACTTTGAGGCCCATGTACCTTGCAATTTGATTTTAAACAAAAGCAAATCCAACTCCAACTGCTGGAACTTTTGTTTTCCCTGGAAATCACACTCTTATCTGTGCAGTATGAGTAACTGTTCTTCCTGCTGTTTAAGAGGAAAAATAAGGTACTACATACAGTACAGTAATGACAGTACATTAAGAGGAATTGGTTACTCCCAAGTGGTTAGCTTGCATTCAGTTTTATTTTAGCTGTTTATTCACGTTATCGTTTTTCCCCTTGAGGATTGTTATGGGGGGGAAAAAGGATTGTGAAACTCTGAGCTAGTTCTCTCTTGTGCTGCAGCTTCATTATTATGCATGTGACTCTGGGAAATAAAACCTCTGCTTCGTGAAAATATACCCCATTAATGTGCTGTTTCTGTCCCTTTGATTTGTGAAGTTCAACCACATAGCTGGTAGTTAAGAAATGGATTACACTTTTCTTTTGAAGGCCCCTGTCCTGAAATTAATTGATAAGAATCTTGCTGTTCTCTTAAAAAGAAGTGGGGGGGGGGGGGGGGGAAGAGGAAATAAAGGCAAAATAGAAACGATAAGCCTTCTAGGCCTTGTTGTTCCAGAGGAAAGCATCCCATCAGGCTCAATTCCCAGCTTTCCTGAGACACGAAATAAAAAATGGTCTGGAAAGAAACACATGCGCAAACCAACCTCAGAGGTTAACCTCACGACTCTGGAGTTCCTACTCCTTCCTGAGGCCTCAGACATTGCTGTTGGCAGGGCTGTGCAAGGGGTCAGCTCCCAGAGCCAGCCGCTTCCAGGAGCGCTGCCCGGGACAAGCTCAGTGCTGGGGAGCTGGGGCTGCTGCCTGCACTGCTTTGCAGGGCCGGGAAAATAACCTGAAATCCTCTCCTTTCTTTGTGCAGTTCCAATTAAATGCAATCAATTGCTCCATCAATCTTTTGCTCTTAATAAAGTCAGTTATCTTTTTCCTTCTCGTTCCCCTCCAGGTTTCTGAACAATTGTTCAGACAGACACAACAAGCAGCTTTTGTAAAGGAAGAGTGTAGGCGTTTCCTTTGGCTGTTTTCACTTTCTGCCTATTATGTTATGCTCCGCACCCTCCCCGAATCCTAATCATATACAATAAGTGTTCTAGGAGTCCTTTTTTTTTTTTTTTTTCCATCCAACTGGCATGGATTGAGTACCCTAATTTGATAGCAAAATCATGCCAAAACATTTGAGGTAGGGGGGAGGAGAATAGACGTTTTGTCATCTTTGTGTTGCTGATGAGTCAGACTGTTTAAACTAAGGAAAGGTTTGAAAAAGGGAAGGGAAATGCTCCACAGCCTTATCTACTCCAACATTAATTTGGGTAGAAGGTAGGAGTGGAGGAAGTCTGAGTAAATCTGTTCCTTATTCAAGTTGTCTGTAGGTGGTTACTGCCATCTGTGAGATGAGGGGGGATGCACTGAATTGTTGCCCACTGTGGTGACAGTGAGGAAGAGTGACATATGTGCTTTCCTTGGTTTGTGCATGTGCTAAAGCCACACTTGCTTGATGTGTGTGTGTGTAAAAAAAACCACCAGTACTGGTTGCAGCTGCACTGCTCTAACTACCCTGCGTTTCCAGGTGGGAGAACGCTGCAGCTGTGCAAAGCATATTTGTACCTAAGTAAATCTGCCCATAGGAGGGTTAGTCCTGTTCAG